ATGCTGTCCATTTCCTTCTGATCCTCGTTGAGACGTTTCTGCTCCTTCATTGGAGTCCAGCTGTGTTTAACTAAACTGCTTGGACTTGGTTAGGACAGGCACACACGTGTCTATATAAGACCTCACAGCTCACGTGCATGTCAGAGCAAATGAGAATCATGAGGTCTAAAGAACTGCCCAAGGAGCTCGGAGAAGCACAGAATTGTGGCAAGGCACAGATCTGGCCAAGGTTACAAAAGAATTTCTGCAGCACTCAAGGTTCCCAAGAGCACAGTGGCCTCCATAATCCTTAACTGGAAGAAGTTTGGTTTGGGATGACCAGAACTCTTCCTGGACCTGGCCGTCCAGCCAAACTGAGCAATCGTGTGAGAAGAGCCTTGGTGAGAGAGGTAAAGAAGAACCCAAAGATCACTGTGGCTGAGCTCCAGAGATGCAGTAGGGAGATGGGAGAAAGTTCCACAAAGTCAACCATCACTGCAGCCCTCCACCAGTCGCAGCTTTATGGCAGAGTGGCCCGACAGAAGCCTCCTCAGTGCAAGACATATGACAGCTCTCATAGAGTTGACAAAAAACTCATGAAGGACTCCCAGAATATGAGAAATACGATTATCTGGCCTGATGAGATGAAGATTGAACTTTTTGGCGTTAATTCTAAGCGTGTTTGTGGAGAAAACCAGGCACTGCTCATCACCTGCCCAATACAATCCCAACAGTGAAACATGGTGGCGGCAGCATCATGCTATGTGGTGTTTTTCAGCTGCAGGGACAGGACGACTGGTTGCAATTGAAGGAAAGATGAATGCAACCAAGTACAGAGATACAGTGCCTTGTGAAAGTATTCGGCCCCCTTGAACTTTTCAACCTTTTGCCACATTTCAGGCTTCAAACATAAAGATATAAAATGTTAATTTTTTGTGAAGAATCAACAACAAGTGGGACACAATCGTGAAGTGGAATGAAATTTATTGGATGTGTCAAACTTTTTTAACAAATAAAAAACTGAAAAGTGGGGCGTGTAATATTATTCGGCCCCCTTGCGTTAATATTTTGTAGCTCCGCCTCTTGCTGCAGTTCCAGCTCAAGTCTCTTGGGGTTTGTCTCCATCAGTTTTGCACATGGAGACACTGAAGTTCTTGCCCATTCTTTCTGCAAAACAGCTGGAGCTCAGTGAGGTTGGATGGAGAGCGTTTGTGAACAGCAGTCTTCAGCTCTTTCCACAGGTTCTCGATTGGATTCAGGTCTGGACTTTGTCTTGGCCATTCCAACACCTGGATATGTTTATTTGTGAACCATTCCATTGTAGATGTGTCTTTATGTTTTGGATCATTGTCTTGTTGGAAGATAAATCTCTGTCCCAGTCTCAGGTCTCTTGCAGACTCAAACAGGTTTTCTTCCAGAATGGTCCTGTATTTGGCTCCATCCATCTTCCCATCAATTCTGACCATCTTCCCTGTCCCTGCTGACAAAAAGCAGGCCCAAACCATGATGCTGCCACCACCATGTTTGACAGTGGGGATGGTGTGTTCAGGGTGATGAGTTGTTGCTTTTACACCAAACATATCGTTTTGCATTGTGGCCACACAGTTCGATTTTGCTTTCATCTGACCAAAGCACCTTCTTCCACATGTTTGGTGTCTCCCAGGTGACAAACTTTAAACAACACTTTTTATGGATATCTTTGAGAAATGGCTTTCTTCTTGCCACTCTTCCATAAAGGCCAGATTTGTGCAGTGTACGACTGATTGTTGTCCTATGGACAGACTCTCCCACCTCAGCTGTAGATCTCTGCAGTTCATCCAGAGTGATCATGGGCCTCTTGGCTGCATCTCTGATCAGTCTTCTCCTTGTTCCAGATGAAAGTTTAGAGGGACGGCCAGGTCTTGGTAGATTTGCAGTGGTCTGATACTCCTTCCATTTCAATATGATTGCTTGCACAGTGCTCCTTGGGATGTTTAAAGCTTGGGAAATCTTTTTGTATCCAAATCCGGCTTTAAACTTTTCCACAACAGTACCTCGGACCTGCCTGGTGTGTTCCTTGGTCTTCATGATGCTCTCTGCACTTTGAACAGAACCCTGAGACTATCACAGAGCAGGTGCATTTATACAGAGACTTGATTACACACAGGCGGATTCTATTTATCATCATCAGTCATTTGGGACAACATTGGATCATTCATAGATCCTCACTGAACTTCTGGAGTGAGTTTGCTGCTCTGAAAGTAAAGGGGCCCAATAATATTGCACGCCCCACTTTTCAGTTTTTTATTTGTTAAAAAAGTTTGACACATCCAATAAATTTCATTCCACTTCAAAAAATTACTAAGGAGTGGCTTCAGAACAACTCCATGAACATTCTTGACTGGCCCAGTCAGAGCCCTGACCTAAACCCAATTGAGCATCTCCGTAGAAACCTGAAAATGGCTGTCCATCAACGTTCACCCAACCTGATGGAACTGGAGAGGATCTGCAAGGAAGAATGGCAGAGGATCCCCAAACCCAGGTGTGAAAAACCTGTTGCATGATTCTCAAGAAGACTCATGGCTGTACAGCTCAGAAGGTGCTTCTACTCAGTACTGAACAAAGGGTCTGAATACTTATGACCATGTGATATTTCATCCATCCATTATCTTTACCCGCTTCTTCCATTTTGGGTCACAGGGGTCGCCCGTGTCCATGTCCAGCAGTCACTGTGCGAGGGGCGGGGTACACCCTGGACGGGTCGCAAGTCCATCACAGGGACACATAGAGACAAACGAGACAAACAAACATTCACTCTCTCACTCCTAGAGACAGTTTAGAGTTTTCAATCAGCCTAACATGCATGTTTTTGGTCTGTGGGAGGAAACCGGAGCACCTGGAGAAAACTCACGCATGCACGGAGAGAACATGCAAACTCCACCCAGAAAGGCCCCTGGACCGGGGTTTGAACCAGGGACCTGCTCGCTGAGAGGCAGCAGCTCTACCAGTTGCGCCACCGTGCTGCCCAACTAAATCGATTGCAGTACTATACAAAGTCAGGGAATTATTAAATGATAAAGCTCTGTACATGTTGTATAACACAATCATTGTTCCACATTTAATCTATTGCATTGATGTTTGGGGGAAAGCGTGTAAAACATTTACAAAACCTATTTTTATTTTACAGAAAAGAGCTGTAAGAATTATCACCAGAAAGCATTACAGTCACCCATCAAGCACATTATTTTATCAACTGAAGTTATTGAAGTTCCATGATTTGGTAGATTACAGTACTTTATCAGTTATGTATAGGGCTCAAAATAACACATTACCATTAAATATTCAAATAAATTTTGTTAACAGACAAAGTTGTTATAATCTCAAGGGGATAGAGATATTTGTCAAACCAAAATTCAGAACTAGTCTGAAGGGAAGGTCTACCTCAATCCAAGGAGTTGGATTGTGGAATGGTCTAGAGAGTGATGTTAAAAATGTCAAGTCAATGTGTACATTTAAGACAAAGATCAAAATTGGATTGTTAAAAAAATATATATATGAAGTAGCTTAGTGTGTTTTTTGTATTAGAATTAGAAAAATTAGAAAGTTATTCATTTTGTTCTGTTACTTGAAAATTATTATCATTGAACTAATTATTTGAAAAAAGGGGCAGATATAAGATTTTATTCTTCTTTCTGCTGCCTTTCATTTTAAATCTTTTGTATCTTTTTATATTGTTATGGAATTGTTTTGCACTTTTTTAAAATGAATAAACTTTATACCATGAGTTGTTTCAAAAACGTCTGATTGGTGACGTATTCCGGCCCCTGGGGGCACATCTTTGCTCTTAAACTATTGTTAAAATTGGACATGCACAGTTATTCTGCTTCATTACAAGAGCTAGGAAACTTCTGGGTGCAGATATTGACGCACGCACATTGATATTGGGCACGGTCGAACGTGAGCTGTACCGATCAGTACCGATCGTGTGCTTCCGGCCCTGAAACAGATTTTGTTTTTTTGTCTGGGAACAGATCGTGCTGCAGTGACACTTCACAACCAGGCTGGCTGCAGGTACGTTTTAAGCCAGAGGTCACTCGGTCGGTCTGGATTCGGACCGAGTGATGGTTCTGTCCGGACCCAACAGAACACCGGACCGTGCTGCGTCAAGCTGCTGCTCAGCTGTGGCTGTGCACGACTCTGCTGTTGTTGCTACAACTTTGGTGAGATCTACAATCATCGAAATTTGAAAGTATTCAATCATCTACTCAGCGATGAGTTGCCTTTTTGTTTAAAAATACTGTTGGGCGTGTTAGTATCTGTTTTAGCACCGCAGCAAAAATCACAGCACTTACAATGCAAGACTCCATAGAACTAACGGCACATTTGGCTAGTGTTTTACCCTGGTCAACATGATCTTCCCAACCATGTATTTAATTAAACACTAATAAAGTTACTCAGTGAGCAAGCCAAATAAAATGACATACTTTTATTAATTAAAGGACATCTTTGGTTGAATGTATTTGAACTATTTTAAGGTATTTTTGTTACTTTTTGACAAACTATATCCTAACTATAGGATTGATCAAAAATGAAAATCTTAATCCCAGTCTGAAAACTGGATAATGTGTCAGCCTCACGGACAGAAACTGGAAGTTGGTTCCACAAGAGAGGAGCCTGATAACTGAAAGATCTTCCTCCCATTCTGCTTTTGGAAACTCTAGGGACCGCGAGTTGGTCTGCAGTCTGAGAGCAAAGTTCTTTGTTAGGAAAATGGGGAACAATAAGGTCTGTAATATAAGATGGAGCTAGGTTGTTGAGAGCTTTGTAGGTTAGAAGTAATGTTTTGAATTAAAATCTGGATTTGACAGGGAGCCAATGGAGAGAAGTTAAAACTGGAGAGATATGATCTACTAACTCCTGGTCAACGCTCTGTGTGTGTTCATTAAAAGTAAAAGCAACACTCCAATGTTTTCAAATCTAATTTTAATAAAAAGGAGGAACTTTGAACACAGTTTAGAAAAAACATGAAAAACTATCTGGACACACAGAAGACAAACAATTAAAACCTTTTTTAGAATAACAAACGATGAGTAGAGCAGGAGTAGAACTGGGTCCTGGGTTCAGACGGTCAGCTGCTTGTTGGACACCTTCAGCAGGACCTGCTGGGCCACGGCCTTCTCAGCCTCCCTCTGGGTAGTGCTGGGATCAGGTCCTGGTGGGATCATGCACATCCCCTCGAAGGCTGCTCTCATCCCGGGGATGTGCACCTTGTAGGTGACGTGCAACAACCCATACAGTCCGGTGCTGCTGTAGATTATTTTATACACCGGCTGGCCCAGTCCAGAGCCCTCACACAGCAGACGGAGGAGCATCGATGGAGATTCTGCAAATGTCAATCCTCCCTGGGAGGAGGAGGAAGGAGGCGGAGGATGGAGGGGGGCTTTAGGTCCCCCCATGGCTCTGCAGAAGCCAGGAGGGGGACACTGGGAACGAGCCAGGCGTGGAGGCTGGACCGAGGGCAGCAGACTCTTTGGAGCATTCTGCAGACATCGAGACTTTGCAGGGCTGGATTTCTCCACTGACAGCCACTTCAAGGACACGTTCAAGGAAAACGACTTCTTGAACCCTGGACAAAGAAACGCATCAATAAAAAGGCGGACCCTGACTATGGTAATATTTGTTTGTTAGCAAAATATCTCACAAATCACTGGGTAGATTTTAGATCAACTCTCAATAAGTAATAATTTGAAGTACACTAGTCCCTCGCTACTTGGGCGGCTGTGGATGAGTGGTTAGAGCAGTCGTCCTCCAGTGCAAGAGTTGGGGGTTTAAATCCACCAGCAGTCACATACTGAAGTGTCCCTGGGTAAGACACTGAACCCCTCGTTGCCTCAGATGTGTGTCCCATCAGTGTATGAATGTGATCTAAAGCTCTGATCAGTCTCTTTAGAATGATTTGTTCAATTAGCTTTGTAGAGATCCAGTAGAGTGCTGGATGAATGGGTAAACGAGGCACAGATTGTCGTGTAAAGAGCTTTGAGTGTCTTGAAACTATAGAAAGATGCTGTATAAGTGCAGTCCATTTACCATTTAAAGAAACATACCCTGACCAGCAGAGTACCATGACCTTAAGGAGGTATTCTAAAAGCAACATCTCTCCCACCTCGCAGACCCTATGATTGTGCCATGAACCTCATTCCTGACTTTACTCCACCTAGGGGCAGCCTATACTCTTTCTGGTCCAGAACACACTACCATGCAAAATTATATCAAAGATTCCCTTCAAGCTGGCATCATCAGGCCTTCAGCGTCCCCTGCTGGGGCAGGGTTTTTCTTTGTTGGCAAAAAAAGACGGTTCTCTCAGGCCCTGTATCGACTACACAGGGCTCAACAAGATCACTATTAAGAATAAATACACCTTGCCTCTCATGTCAACAGCATTCCAACTCATTCAAGGAGCCACCACGTTCACCAGTACGACTAGCCATACTGGACAAAAGAAGGATGTACAGACCCACGTGCGCAAATGTATGACTCACATGCAAGACTGAATGAGCCGTGCAAGTAAGTTCATGTCTTGGATCTTATTTCTGTTTTTCTTTACAATTTGTATTTTTGTTGGATCTAACTGGGACCCTGTGTACATAGTTTCATTCCACCTCATGTACCACATGTGGTGTAAATGACAATAAAGACACCTTGACCTAAACAAGTAATTAACTGATCAGAACATTTAGTATTTATTTATTTTATACAGACAAAAATGATCAAAGTTATGTACAAATTGTGGTATTAGACTGAAAAAAACAAAAAAACAACATGAATACAAATAAATAAAATAATCCCATAATAACAGATTCAGGTAGAATAAACACTTTTGCACATTTTTGCTTTGTTTATTTTAGAAAACCTGAAACTAATACTTACAGTCTGTAATATACTGTATGTTAGAACATAGTAAAGCACTTCCAGTGCACAGCAGGTAGAAAATAGCATAAAATAACAAAGCTTGTGTATAAACTACTGTATACGTCTCATTTTAAAAATCAAATCAAAGTGATCAGAAATTAGTTTGTCACATACTGATCCCTTTCTCGGACTGACTGGTGCATCCAAACGCAGCACAGCCATGGTAACCCAATCAACCTACAAAGGGTTTATTTAAGTATAAATTAATATATATAAATATATCGTACCACACAAAAAATATAGGGATATGTACAATTACACAGTAAACTTTTCTTTTGTTCCACCCTCAACATTTCAATTAGTATTTGTAATTTTCTTTCAATTATTTCTTACATCTGTTTATGTGTGATTGAACGGTGCATACAAAGACAGTCCGAGCTTTGTGGATTTACTAATTTAAACATGTGGGAACACCACCTGACAAAGCTAAAAAAAAAACTATATAATCATAATAAACAGCATGAAAAGCTCTGAGGTGTATTAGTATCTACACAGTAATAAGGCCGGTGGCGTTTTGTTAAAACACAATCTTATTTATCTTGAAGCCTTAGCAAAGCCCAGCCAAAGCCTTAAAGTCCTCCATCACCAAGCCTGGGTGTTAGTTTCAACATCAGCTGTACTACAAGCAGGTTGTTCATGCATTACAGGGCAAGGCAGGGCTTGCAGCCACACAGCTGCAATACAGTGGAATAAATGCTGAAAATTGTTTTATTTTTTATTAATTACTTTAATTGCATATTGTAATGATAGTGTGCACCTACTGTTTTTAGTTTGGAGCAAGCCTGGATGGAATGTTGGACTCAGCGCAGCTCCTAGAGATCAAGTGTCCCCTAAAGAGCTCCATGTCACTTTCAGAGATTCTATCGGCCAAATTGTGACATCAGATGTTTAGAAGATGGGAAGTACCTCATTCTTCCCAATGGGCAAAGTGGATACTACCTCCAGTTGAGTAAATGTTGCAACTTACAATCTATGAAATGATGTGACAGGTATTGGTAAACCATTAAAACAAACCCTAAGACATATCTTATATTTTTCTTCAGCTGACAGTGACGTACCTGGAGCTGCAAGCTGATTATCTGGACACGAATAGAACACCTGAATTGATAGATGAGGTTGTTGCAAAGACTCAGCTCTGCCAAAAATACCATGATCTCTTTACAATGCAGATAAATATTCTGCGTACTATATACACAACACATGACGAGCATGAAGCTAGGGAGAAAATAAGTCTTGATTGTTTTTATTAGTTTTATTAAAAACATAAGATTTCAAAACATAATACCCCCATTCAGACATATTAACACCATCCATACATCCATCCATACATACATACAGCATCTTGAGCAGGGAGGCTCAGACATCTCTTTCCACAGCCACCTCTTCCAGTTCTTCTGCGACAACTCCAAGGTGTTCGCAGGCCAATCAAGAGACGTAGTCTCCAGCATCTCTTCTTCGGTGGTTTATTGTAGTCCAGCAGTATGACTCGTATGACTCGAGTGCGAGACTGAATGAGCCGCGTGCGCATGTATGACCCGCGCGCGGCTCATTCAGTCTCGCGCGCAAGTCATACATTCGGCGTGCGTGTCATACGGTCTTGCGCGCGGGTTTGTACGTCCTTCTTTTGTCAAGTATGGCCAGTCATACACCAGCCTTGACCTGAGAAACGCATACCACCTGGTCTGCATCAGGGAGGGTGAAGAATGGAAAACAGCGTTCAACACCTCAGTGGACACTAGGAGTACTTGGTAATGCCATTTGGTCTCACCAATGCACCTGCTGTTTTTCAGGCATTAGTCAATGATGTGCTCAGGGACATGGTCAATCTGTATGTCTTTGTCTACCTTGACGACGTTTTGATTTTTTCCAAAGACATGTCATCAGATAACACATCAGATCTGTCCTTGTCAGACTGCTACAGATTAAACTGTTCGTCAAGGCAGAGAAATGTGAGTTCCACCAAGCACCCACCTCTTTTCTCGGCTTTGTGATCTCACCTAATCAGGTAACCATGGACTTTGGCAAGGCATCCGCGTTCAATGATTGTCCTATTCCTAAAGAAAGGAAACCGTTGCAAAGATTTCTAGGACTCGCTAACTTTTATAGAAAGTTTATCAAGAACTACAATTCTATTGCCGCTCCTCTGCATGCATTAACATCCTCTAAGACCAAGTTTATCTGGAACGGGGCTGCTGACCTTGCAATTAAGAGACTTAAAGAATTGTTCTCCTCTGCACCTATCCTCCATGTTCCCCAACAAACCCTTCATTGTAGAGGTTCATGCCTCTAGCATGGGGGTGGGAGCTGATCTTAGCCAGTGCAGCAACGAGGGGAGAGTTCACCCATGTGCATTTTTTTTCTAGAAGCCTTATTGCTGCGGAACGTAACTATGACGTGGGTGAACGTAAGTTGCTGGCTGTCAAGTTGGCCCTCGAGGAATGGAGACACTGGCTCAAAGGTGCCAAGGAACCTTTCCAAGCGTAGATGGACCACAAGGACCTTGAGTACCTCAGGACCGCCAAACTTTTGAACCCCAGGCAAACCAGGTGGGCTCTTTTTTTTGCTTCAATTTTATATTGTCTTACAGACCTGGGACTAAAAACACAAAACCCAACACTCTGTCTTGCATCTCTGAGGGGGATGGTACTTCCAATATGAAGACAGAGGTTGAATTCATCTTGCCAGACAACGTCCATCTATCCATGATCCAACTGGAATTGGACCTCCGGCAGGGCAATCAGGTCCAACCTCCTCCACCCAAATGTCTAAGGGGTTGGGTGTTTGTCCCAAACAACAAAATAAAAGAGGTACTGGAGCGCTGTCACAACTCACACAACTCGCATATAATTTGTCACCCCAGGATCGCCTAGTCAGGTCACAATTTTGGTGAAAAGATCTGGATAAAATTGTTAAGCATTATGTCTTGCCTTGCCCCTCATATAACCAAGCCAAATCCTCTCGTTGTCCTCCAGCAGGGTTGCTTCACCCTCTGTCTGTCCCATCTCATCCCTGGTCACACATCTCCATGGATTTTGTCACTGGTCTGCCTCCCTCCTCAGGTCATACGGTCATTCTCATTGTCGTTGACTGTTTCTCCAAGATGGTTCACCTCACCCCTCTCCCCAAGCTCCCATCCGCCAAAGAATTAAGCGACATCGTGGCCAGAGGGACATTTAGACTGCGTGGCATCCCCAATGATATAGTTTCTGATCGGTGGCCTTAATTCATTTCCAAATTCTGGAAGGAGTTTTGTCTCCTCTTGGGCATCTCTATAAGTCTCTCCTCATGATTCCATCCCCAGTCCAACAGCCAATCAGAAAGGGTTAACCAGGAGGTGGAGACCAAGCTACGCCTGCTTTGTGAGGGGAACCTCAGTATATGGTTGTCCAATCTCCCCTGGGTAGAGAACGCCATCAACACTCGTCCCTTGTCTACATCAGGTCTGTCCCTGCTTCATGTTATTTTTGATTTCCAACCACCTTTGTTCTCTGTCCAGGGGAGAGAAGCTCACGTCCTGTCAGCCCACCAAGCAGCCATATGGTGCCAATGAACCTGGAAAAGGACCATAAGGGCCCTCCTCAAGTCCAATGCTACCTATGTCAGGGGAGCCAACAAGCGCTGGTCCACCCAACCAGATTATCAGGTGAGCCACAATGTCTGGCTCTCTACCAGAGATCTTCCCCTATGGGTGGAGTCCCGTAAGTTGGTTCCCCGATTCAATGGCCCTTTCCCTTTAACGAAGATAATTAACCCAGTAGCCGTCTGTTTTCAACTGCCCATCTCCCTTACGGTTCACCCCATCATCCATGTCTCCCACTTGAAACCCTTTTTACTGTCCTGGTTCAAGCCCACCTCCAGTCCCCCTCCTCCCATCGGACTTAGTGATAGTTCCCCTGCTTAAACCATCAGGAGACTCCTCCGCTCCAGGCGGTGGGGTTGAAGGCTCCATTATTTGGTTGACTGGGAGTGGTAGTCTGGAGAAATGCTCTTGGGTTCCAGCCCGCCATATTTTGGATAAGAACCTCATCAGACAGTTTCATTTTTCCTATCCTGATCAACCTGGTAGTTCGTCAGGTGCTGGACCTTAAGGTGGGGGTTCTATCATGTTTTACCCCCTTCTCCTGCCTCAGTTTGTCATGTTTCATGTTTTTGTTTTCCCTGCCAAGCATTTCCAGCTCCTGTCATTCATTCACCTCCACTCTGCACCACGTCCCATTCTTCAATCGGCTCATGTTCTCCACCTGCTCTCTACCCATAAGCTCCCTTCCTTCCCTCATTCAGCGCCAGATTCTCAAACCTTGTTAGTAGTAGAAATCCAGCATTCATAGTCTTGTCCCTCACCTTGCCATAAACCCTTGCCTGCCTTTTGATTCCTCACCTTGCCTGACCCTTTTGGATTTTGTCTGCTCATCTGATCATGGTAAACAACTCTGTGCTCCCCTTTTTTTGACTACGGATTACGATTTGGCTCTGGCATCTGCTCTCTGCTTCCATATGCTTGACCCCTGCTACGACCATCAGACCACGTATCTGGATTTCCCCTGCCTGGACCACAACATTTTCAGTCTGCTCCGCTTTAGCAACTCACTTTGCATTGCATGCGTGACGTCACAGGCTCCAGCGCGACAAAAGCTCCTGCCTCGCCATCAAGACAGGTTAGTGAAAACCCAAGTATCTATCTGTACTTCCAAGATTAAGCCAAGTTCACTAACACTTCTGTCTTGACAGATTGGACCTGGCCCAGGACCCAGACCTCCACCTGAGATTATTTCATTACAATAAACTATTTTAAACCACTCTTGGTCTTGGTGGTGTTGTGCTGATCCAAAGTGGTTCTTGTCAAACGAGTGTTAAAACAGGTTAAAATTGTAGCCGTTTACTTAGATTATTGGGGTTGGACAAAGTTAAAAATATTTCAGCCATTATATTGGTTATCAGCACTAGCCTTCCCCTCTTAATATCGGTATAGGAGAGAGCCAAAACTTCCATATCAGTCGGGCTCTAGAATTTACACATCGAGTCTGTCAGCAAAGAAGTTTATCAGGTAAAATCAGACTTTGTACTCCGCAGTGTTTCCCCTACCATTATACAAGTGGGACGCCCTGCCCTGTCAACAGAAACGGACACCCAGGCTAAAAATGCACTAGCAAAATGCTACCGACATACCGTGCCCCCTCGCCCCAATCAATAAAAAAACAGCAGCAATGTAACTCTAAGCTAGCAGGCGGGCAACACTGACGTAACAACCCCCCCCCCCCCCCCAACCCACCGACAC